CGAAATGCTCTCATTTAATTTATTAACTGCGATCTTGTTTAAACTAGGATTCATGTGTTATCCAATTGTCGGCACGGATATTAAATGCCTATTAGGTGTTCTACCCAAACCTTAGGTGTCATTCAATAAAAACGTCGAAGCCGGAATGAAGACGTGTCAATGAGTGAAGGAGAAATGAAGGTTCTGTTGAAGATGTTATCGACTGCAATATGTCACCTAATTAGTGTGCTGATATTTTGCCATTTAATTACAAATAAATTCCAGAATTTCAAAAGCTGGATTATATTCATACAAGCACTAATCGGTCATTTCGTTTAAAATATTTTTAAGGAAAAAGTAATAAGAACAGTCAGAGTAAATCATCTGGAGTTTAGGACTTTTACCATCCCTAAGATCACCAGTAATTATTTCACAACATCAGGGATACAATATACATGCTTCACTGTTTCAATCAACTTACCACACTATAGAAATCTCTATTTGGGGATAAAGACTGGCAGTATTTTCATTTATTTTTGAGAGTTTCCAATATTTGCCACAAAATTTTTCTCTAAACAGATAAATTATCAAGCCTAAATAAGAAAAACGGGATACAATTTGCAATAATTCAGCACAGAATTATTGTTAATTGATTAATTGCCACAGTAACAGTCCAGTTAAAATATTATCTACTATTTGGATTAAAATAGTTATTCAGGCGTGAATGAATGCTCACCCTAGTGGAAACTCGAGCAAGCAAAAAACTCGGTTGCCGGTGTTGTCCCAACACTTCCTCGAGAAGCCACCCCGCTCTCCGTCCCCAAAGCGCACCAATTGCCTTGTTGCTGGCCTTCATCGTCCCGTATAAAGGTATCCCACACTGCGCTAGCAGCTCAAATAGGTCTACTCATGGGATCGCATATACTCGTTTCATTCGGCTAAGTGCTTTTTATTCAGGATGTCTGGATACCTAATTGTCATATCGCGTAAAGCAATGGTATTGTAATGTGTCCATCTAAAAGGTCAGGTCGCCAGGCAAAAAGGGTAAAATAAGTGCAATAGCAAGCTTGAATAAACTTTCACATCAACAGGAAAGGTTATAATTTCCATCATGTATTTATGAAAGTTAATGGTAAAATTTCTATAGAAAAATTTTAAGGGTACTTTTAGAGGTGTCATGAGAAGCAGGAATAACATTTAAATGACACAGCATCGAGCATAAAAATCCTGTTACGATTATAAATTCGCAATCTATGAAAAATATTTTCATTCGTAAATAAAATTTGAATCTGAAAAAGTTTAATTAGTAGGTAAACAGTAATAGTTTATTCTCTTCATTGATGCTGGTCAGAACTTTTAAACAGTTATATAGGGGGAAGTCAACTGTATATTTACTACGTGTCATTAAAGTCCCCTTGTTTGAGATCTTTGAATTATAATTGCGCATAGAATGTTGACACTAATAAATAACCCAAACTTTCAAATCTGGTGCTATTCAAATTAGTGGGCCTTTTTCTCGAATTAAAACAAGTTTAATAATCTTCCTTTCTTTCCCTACTATGCAGACATTAATCGCTAAATTATCTGTAGAATGTACTATTGGTTAAAAATTGGGATTTTACTGACCAATAGACTTTTCAGGCGCACCTTCTCGCCCAATCAGTAGGCAAGTGGTGCTCATCACCCATTGGTTGCCTGCCTTCTGCATAATGATTAAAACATGCATGCAGCTGACTAATTGATGTAACAGTGAAGTAAGAAAGGACAAAGTAAGTTCCTTCTGATATTTCTGTACAAGTAGTAAAATCGAACTATAATTATCATCAATTCACATGTAATTTCCAAAAACTTTTGGGCCAAATCACACACAACTGGTACAAGTAAAGTTTCTTTCTACCAGACAACTGTAAACTAAAACTTGAAAACCCTATCCGGCTAAGAACATTCAAACCTTGAAAGGGCTTACAAAGTCTCACTTATTTAACAACGGTCATTAAAATTTTTAATTTACCTAAATCAAATTTTAGGGAGTGTTTATCATGAAATGCGCTGGAAGTCAGGAAGGCATCCATCGCATCGTTAGGAAACTAATCCAGACAGGAGATGACTTGGAGTTGCACATGAAAACACAGTTTAAGCTTCGTTTGAGAGGGGTAAGATTATCAACTCTGTATTTATTTTTCAATTGTCTCAGTGGAAAATGCAAGATCAGGCAATGCAAGCCACTAAGCTGAATTTTCTTTGCCTTAATATAGATAATCCCCTTCGTTGGGGTTATATTCATGCACGGTGTGTTAAACCCCACCTCAGGTGAGCGAGGCCTCAGGCAATTTTACCAGCGTCTCTTTGGACCAAACTGAGCCTGTAAGCGCCCTAATCTACACGGAAACGAAAGAACAGGGAATGGGAAACCTTAGAGAACACTCAACAAATGACTGATTGGAGAGTATTTGTTGAATGGACGTGGGATAGTGTCTGGTTATAACTTCTAAGAAATTCTGAGTGAGATATTTTTTTGATTTATCAGTTTCTACGTCTGTTATCTAACTTACTGTCCCTTATATGGCCCGAGACGATGCTTATTGGTAGGTCCGACTATGCAGTATATGTACACAAAGTAAGAGATCGATCTTGCAACATCGAAACGTGTTCCAATAAAATAGTAGAATACTTAGTATAAATAAAATATAATGCTGTTGGCAAGTTTCAATGATACATCACCTATTATGCCTTTAAAAGCGACTCATGGCTGGATTGAAGATTAATGGGTCCTTTAAAACCACACTAAAGCACTGACTCAATCCCTAGATCCTCCGTGAAGCCTATCATAAAATAAGAGAATGATTTTATAATAAAACAATGAACGACTGCACAACATAACGTATTTCAATATTATTCCCGAAGCGCCCTACTTTTATCAGATAATATTCAAGGCCAACTTGCATCATCATTGGATCCAAAATACCATCACTGACTATACCACAGACTTGGATTCATTGTTAAGAACGTCCACGCATCGTAAGTTTCTTGATGGCCATAATCAACTTTAAAAAATTGTAATAAGCAAATCTTAGTTGCCTCCGTGCAGAAAGAAGAGTGTCCTTTACTGTGGAGGTTGACGCAAACCGTTCCAATCCAAGCCTGGGCTGTATTCAAGTGGTCATTTAGGAAGTCGTCTCTAATCTGAAATGGAAAAATAAGGGTCTGCAGAGCTAGAGTAGGTTTTGACAATTACACTGCTTAAAGGATGGGCAAACAAAATTATACCAGAGATATTTCTACTTCATCAATAGAGTAAAATCAACCTACCTTTGTCTTATTCAAGCTATGAGCTTGCACTGATAAGAAGGCTATTGGTTCTTCGAAGCAAAATGCAGCCCGTAACTTTGGTGGCACAAACGCAAAAGTCGACCAATTCCCAATGAGTTACAAAAACTATTACAAAAAACGCTTTTAACGCTTACTGTACCAGTGGGTAATAAGGGGTAAAATTAAGGGCATCATATGCCTACGGGAAGCAGGAGCATTGATGCTAGTAGAGAACTGCCACCTGAAAATAACCCGAAAACGTACTGTTTTGCATGAAAGCAAGAACGATGACATAACTGGGTCCCCAGTGCTGGAGCATACTTTTTCTCTACAGGCCTAAATGGTCTTGCTGGTTGAGTAGAGACCGTGGGGTTCAAAGGCCCTTGTGACACACTAACCCGCCCCTTCAGACAGCAGCGCGACACAACCTGCAGTACATTTTAGGAGTAGTAATGCGGTTTGGTTGGGTCGTTGCCCATGGAGTGGAAGGTAGAAGTCACACTTTTATATGCTAGCTATGGTAATAAGGTATGAGGCTGAATCACTTCTCACATCTTGTACTTAATGTTTAATTCTGCGAAAAAGAGCGAGACAAAGGCAAAGTTTCAGATACATGTAATGAAAAATAAATGAAGTACACACGCATTAAATCCATTGGCAAGACTTGCATTGGTATGATCTGGCGGAGTATGATTCGATGGCTTTAACTACATTTACAAAAAAATTTGAGGATTACAGCCGAGGACCTTCCTCGATCTCTTGCAGGTAGATCTAAAAGGTCCATGTGACAGAGCTATTAAATTAAATTTGAGTAGTAGGCTGTTGGAGAAAAGCTTTGACCTGCGCTTTTCTGTGGTGATTTTTCACAGTACCTTCCAAAAGTAAAGGGCGTTTCAAAACGCAAACTCAAATGTTATTCAATCGCTTTCATTAGATAAAACTCACGTAAACATTGCATCAAGAAGATTTAGCATTGGAAGTTGCGTCAGCAATATGAAGGAGCCTAGACTGACGATAAGTAAGTTTCTTGACAAGAATTTAAGGTAAAGAGACCGAGCTCCAACATGATGCAGGCAGGAGTGAATTTCTCCTCGACAAGGAGAAAGCAGGGGTGGTGGCAGTCAGCTCTTCTGCACATTTGCCTTTCTACTAGACGCTGGAAGACCAGGCTGGGTTTCTTGCATGCTATTCCTGAGGCGGAGTCCTAATCGAGCAGGTTAGGTCTAGAGATTTATGTCAGTAAAATGACATTTACCTAATTTAAATAACCGCACCTAATTACTAGGTCGTTCAAAGGTACTTGGCGATCAAACACGTTACATTACTGTACAGAGAAGTGTGTATAGAGTTTACTGTTCATCGTCAAAATTTCCAATGCATCCAAGTAAACAAGATATATGAGACCACACATGCGACAATCACAGGTAACTAGTTTTTGATTGTTCGCTAAATCTCCTATCTTTGCTTCTCTCCAAATATATCTGCACTGCTTTGAGGTGCCATTATCAACTTAAGCAGCTCCTGTTTCTAAGCGAAGGATGGTTCTGTTAGTTAAGTTGATAAAAATTAAATCACTACTGAGACGCCTTTGCTTGTGTACGCTTCCCGCGGTTTTCTCTAGAACTGCCTTCACAGTGATGCTGAACGGTTTCTTCAAGTTAGCATTGGAGCCATGAGCACTAATACCTAGTGTCCGCGGTTTAAGCTGTCATGTTGAAAAATTTTTGCAGAATTTGCTTCCTTGTGGGCGCCATACTCACAGTCACGAACTAGCTGAAAAGGAGGAGGAGGAGGTATTTGTGGAAAAGACATTTTGCTTAAAGAATATCTAGAGCCCACAGACGCCCTCTGCCGGTCCCTTTTTTTCCGCTCATAAGCAAATGTCAAACTCTTAGTGTTATTAAAGAATCTTTATAAACATGACTGCTTTTGAAAGCAAAATAATATATCATTCTGTGTTATTTCAGTTTTAAAAAGCCCATAAAATAAATTCAATTTTACAGCGCATATAACTGGAATAACTTATTGTAGTTCGAAACCTGAAGTAGAGTAAAGAATAATTTTAAAAGGATTTTTTTAAACCTAGGACGATGAAAGTTGGAAGTATTAAAAATATATGGTTTTATGGATGTGTGAGAGACTAGGCTACAGATATTAGTATTGAACATTGCAGCAATACAACAGCTTATACTTTCCAAACAAAACATTTGGACCAGAATTTAAGAAGTACATTCAGCAGCTTGTATTTCAAAAAGATTAATTGCTTGGACCCAAAAGGCTGTTTTAAAAGACCGTCTGTCACAACCACTACACCGTCGCGATTTGACCCATTGCTGAACTTCCTGAAGTGCTCATATACAAATTATGGAGTGAAGCACTCTTGGGTATCTTTGTGTTCTGGTGCCATGTTACGAATAACTGAATGAAGGAGTGCGTTGAGGTGGATGTGGATGGGTAATTTAATAGCGAATTGGGCACACGATGGCTTTGATGAATGCTTATGTGTGCATCCACCGAAGTACCAGGCGAGTAACAATTCACCATGCTTTTGGTCTACACAATCACATCAGCATAATCAGGTATTTGGGTTGAGTGACTCCGTGTTTTGTGCAAATCTGTTCAAATCCCTTCCCATAACTGCGTACTCACCATCCTCAGTCCAACTGTGAGTTTGCATCCCCAATTCCTGTTGCTTGTCCTCCCTCCAGCAGAAATATTGACATCTCTTGTGGATTTTGGACAGTTTGCTCTATGTTTGCCAATTTGTATCCTTAGCCTCGTGTATTGGAGTGTGATACAAGGACTGCCGACGCAAAGACCCTAAATGCATGGCTCTGTCTAGCCAATCAACACGCGGCTCGTCTGATACTCACTCCTTCAAGTCATCAGCCCCACAGTGTGGCTCCACTCCATTTGGGTGTGGCGGAGGCGCCTTCGAGAGCAAAGCGCGATAATTGATGTGTGAAAGTGCTTGTGTTTGTGCAGACCACCAAGTCACTTTCTTCACTCTCTTCACCTCTTTCATTGTGGCTCTCATCATTGTGCTCTGAGCTGTGGCACTCACCTAGGGCGTGATGGCAGAGTTAAATTACACTGCGTGACGTTTCACTTCTTTTGGTAGTGCTATCACTCGTAGCCTATTTGGTATTATTTACCCCTCAACAGCGCTTGAGGTGGTGCTGTGAAATCGCCAGTTAAATCCAATGCCTTGAATTTTATTGCCGACTAACGAGGTTGAGGTAAAATGACACATGCGCCAGTGCTCCATTTCTTACTGTTCGTCTTTTGCTTGCCTGTTGGATGTAAGGCTTTCGCAGAGGGTGGATGCAGTCCCTCTGTTGCTACTACTACGCGACATTGCAAGTCCAAATTTTTGCAAAAGTATTTGTTTTGCTGCACACTGTTCTACTTGAGACTTTGAAGTTGGCAATTTGCCCTTTAAGAAGACGTCGCAAACCACTCATTGACACTTCTAAATTGCATTAATAATGAATTTCGGCAGGATTTTGGCTGCTCGCCTAATGCCATATTTTTTGCCTTTAGCCATAAGTACTGAACCTTTTTTCCCTCCCAGGAACAAAATTTTGCTTTTAATAAAATAATTAATGCATGACTACAAACGGTACCGAAAGCATGCGACATACTGATTTACTTCGAAACGCTGTAGCGAATGGGATTCCTTATTTTTCTTCCTTGCCCCGCCGATTTCGCCTAGAGGCAACTGGGACATTGAGGAAGACGACAGCAATCAGGAACTACAACCCTAACTCCCCATAACTTGGACCACATAGGTATTAGATTATTATCAGTCATGAGTCGATAAATTGGCACTTCAACGCTACTGCATTTATGCCACCCACACGTCAGCCTGCAGCCAACACCACCACTCACACCAGTGCTCAACCACAGGCGTGTTCAAGCCGCAGTCTGCATTGTACCTCATTAAGTGCGAGTGCTCATTCGCCAGTAATGAGGAGAAGCACCGAATGCTGGCAGCTCCTGATTGGATAAAAGCGTTATAATAGTTAGTGTGCATCGCGGATAGGACCTGTGTGATCAGCTACAGTTGATATAAAGGGCTACAGCGATTGTGGTTGCCATCACTACCAGACTATACCCTTTGGCACTCGTGCATTCCACGGAGGCATGTCAATGGGTCCAGCTGTCGGCATTGATTTAGGAACAACCTTCTCGTGTATAGGTGTATTTCATTGCGGCAAGGTAGAAATCATAGCCAACGATCAGGGCAACCGAACAACACCGAGTTATGTGGCCTTCACAGGGGAGGAACGTCTCGTAGGTGATGCCGCGAAGAACCAGGCTGCTATAAACCCCACCAATACGGTGTTTGACGTGAAGCGTCTAATTGGACGTCGTTTCAATGATGAGGCAGTGCAAGAAAACATAAGGCACTGGCCCTTCAAAGTTATAAATTCGGGTGAGACACCAAAGATCGAGGTGCAGTACCTTGGTGAGACGAAGCATTTTATGGCAGAGGAGATCTCGTCTATGGTGCTACTGAAGATGAAGGAGACCGCGGAGGCGTATTTGGGCAAGGAGGTGAAAAATGCAGTGATTACAGTGCCAGCGTACTTCAGTGTCAACCAGCGTCAGGCCACGATCGATGCAGGAAAAATAGCCGGCTTGAATGTGCTACGTCTCGTCAATGAGCCAACGGCAGCTGCCATTGCATACGGCTTGGACAAGAGAGATGACAGGCAGCGCAATGTGCTCATCTTTGATTGGGGCGGTGGCACCTTCGATGTGTCCATCTTGTCCATTGAGAATAAGAAATTTGAGGTGAAGGCGGTTGGTGGTGACACGCAACTGGGTGGTGAGGACTTCGATTCTCGACTGGTGAATTACTTTGTAGAGACGTTTAAGCAACAGCACGAGGGAAAGGATTTGACTACCAACAAGAAAGCCATCAGCCGTCTGAGAAAGGCGTGTGAGGCGGCAAAGAGGCAGTTGTGTTCGACTGATTACACAACAATAGAAATTGAATCATTGTTTGAGGGCATCGATTTCAGGGCACTCCTCACAAAAGCCCGATTTGAACAGTTGTGCTCGGACCTCTTCACCAGGACGATAGATGCGGTAAAGACGGCGTTGAGTGATGCGAAGTTGGAGAAGGCTGATATCCACGAGATAGTGTTGGTGGGTGGATCGACACGTCTTCCAAAGTTGGAGGAGATGTTGCATAACTTCTTCGAGGTCAGTAATCTGAATAAGTCTATAAATCCGGACGAGGCAGTGGCGTACGGTGCAGCGCTGTTGGCGGCCAGTCTGGACAGTGAAAAGTTGGAGGAGGCGCAGAATTTGACGCTGCTGGATGTGACGCCATTGTCACTGGGTTTGGCGACGACGGGAGGTGTAATGACGACGTTGATAAAGCGCAACACGAAAATTCCAACAGAGAAGACAAAACTCTTCTCCACATGCGCAGACAATCAAGCAAGTGTTTTGGTCCAGGTGTATGAGGGTGAGCGTGCAATGGCGAATGACAACAACTTGTTAGGCAAGTTTCAGTTGTTAGGCATCTCACCGGCGCCACGTGGCGTGCCTCAGATTGAAGTGACATTTGTCATCGACGTAAATGGCATCCTCAATGTGTCGGCGGTGGACAAGTCGGCAGGGAAGCAGAACAGCATCACCATCTCCAACGACACTGGTCGACTTTCGGAAGAGGAGATACAGCGAATAGTGAATGATGCGGAGAAGTTCAGGCAAATGGATGAGAAGCAGAGGGGTAGGATGGAAGCGAAAATTAGGTTACAGACCTATATTTTTAACGTAAAACTAAAAGTGGAGAATGAAAAGTTGAAGCAAGGGACATCGGAGGAATCCATTAAAAACATACTTATGGTTTGCGAGAAGAACATGAAGTGGATAGACATCGACC